TAAAATAATATTCCTTGTCCAAAGATATGCCTTTGAGCCGATTTTGATAACAATTCATAAATATACAGTGAGATTATAAACGAAAAAAAAATTCAACTTTAACGCCCTGTATCTTATTCCACAGCCATATTTTATTAAGGTATATTTGGTCCTATCGCCATATTTTGATCTAAATAACCTGCCCTTAATATATGTCCCAATAGTTATGAATCACCCTGTATATCCGGAACTTTTTTCCAAAAAGATAACACCGGAAGTATTTTACTGCCCATACGATAGCGAGCATTTCTTTCTCAATAGTGGAGTAAGAAATCTCTGATTTATTTAAAGTTCGGCTAGCATAAGCAACTGGTAAGTCGCTGCCGATTTTTCCTTGGCTTAAAACAGCCCCTATTGCAAAATTACTTGCATCCGTAGAAAAGATAAACGGCTGCGAAAAATCAGGATATTGCAGGATATGTTCGTTAATTAAAAGTGTTTTGCAAAGTTCGAAACATTCTACATAGTCCGGATTTGTAATATTAATTACAGCTCCTTTCTTTAAACGTTTAGTTAGCGGTAAAGTAATTTTTGAGAAATTTTGAATGAATTTTCTGTAATAACCCAGAAGTCCTAAGAATCCTTTAATTTCAGTTGTATTTTTGGGAATCGAATATTTTTTAATAGCGATTATTTTTTCAGGATTAGGTTTTACACCTTCAGTGGTAACAATGTGGCATGTGGCCTAAATATGTTACCTCCTTTCTTAAGAATTCACATTTATCCAACTGTAAATTAAAATTTGAATTTCTTAATCTATCAAATACTTCTTTTAAGCGGGTTATATGTTCTTGCAAACTAGTACTGAAAATTATAATATCGTCTAGATAGACTAAACAGGATTCATTATGTATCCTACGTAGGATATTATCCATTATTCTTTGGAAAGTCGCTGGCGCATTTTTGAGTCCAAAGGGTATGCGCAAGAACTCATAATGGCCATATTCCGTATTAAATGCAGTTTTGGGTTAGTCCTTTTCTGCAATTTGAGTCTGGTGAAAACCCGACGCTAAATCAAGCGTTGAAAAATATTGACATCGTCCTAGCTTGTCAAGCAGGGTCGTTATATTGGGTAGGGGATATCTGTCGCCCATAGTTTTATCATTCAATTTCCTACAATCGACAACTACCCGCCATTTTTGTTGTCCAGAGGCATCGGATTTTTTACTTACAACCCAGATACTTGAACTCAATGGCGAGCCTGAAGATGAAGTGATGATACTTCGAAACCGGTCGCACTCAATGTTTTGTTGAATAATTAAACATTGACTTTCCTTGTGAGATATAAAGGACTTTTTCTCCCCCCTTCACCTTAAAATTACCTCAACTCACACATGGCTACCCCCCTTGTCAATATTACTATTTAATCTATTTTATTGGGGGGTGTTATTAGTATATAATTTTATCTAAACCTAATGTAAACGAGGCTTAGGGGTTTATGGTTCACAGTACATTTATTAAACCCGAAACACTTCACCAAGAGCTCTTCGTGGGTTATATATTATTTATGGGTAATTAATATTTTAATAAGTAACAGTATTTTACTTGTTTTTACCCCTAGCGTCCGTAAGTAGTACCCTATTAGTTGTTTATTGTTAAATACAGTACACACCTCATGCTTTATAGTTTTACGATTACCCCTAGTCCCATTTAATGATTTTTAAGCTTGATATAGTATTTTAGTTGTAAATATTACTCCCAGTGATACTGGATTACTGTTAATAGTTGGGGAATCTGTTAGTAAGGTATTAAGTGATTTAATTATTTGTTTATTTGTTAAATATCAGTACATTTCATAGTGGTAACGAAGTTGACCCCCCATGTCAACATGTTTAACAATTTATTTTATTAAACTTGGGTATATATTTAACTTAACTTATTATTTATCCCCACTTGCTAACTGTCAACATTTATTTTTATGGTAAAGTACACTTTTAACATATTTGGAGCATACTCGATTTGTAGCCGCTTGATGGCCTTGTAGAGGAGATGCTATAGTTTCCTATTTGGAGTTTGGTAGTGAACTGTCACATGGATTGTTGGATGTGAGTTTAAGCTCCTGGCGCCCACTGAAGAACATAACTTTTACTACGACTCACCCCCTTCTTCACTGTAGTTAGTCGGCATCCAACTTTGGATTGACATAAATCCACCTCGGTGCTTAGGCACAGAAAGTAGGTAGCAAGTTGTGCTATAAAGTGACTTGTTGACTTCATCTGTTGATATACAATGTGTGGAAAAAATTCTACTCTTAGACTATACGAATAAACTTATGGGAGCTTATGATAAATAATGACTAATAATGAAAAAATAGTATAATAAAATATTTTTACTTATGGAGATATATCAATAAATTTGAAAAAATGTGCTTCTTAAACTGTAATAGGGAATGACAATTTATGTATTTATTTATTTTAAATTAATTCTGATGCTTTGGTAGAATTCACTGTTGTGTACTAATTAACAGTGCTGCTCTTAAAGTGGCGCTGGGAAACAGTTACAACGCCCAAACAGAACACAAGGCGAAATGACCATCATAGTAGTTGAATCCGATGACCCACACAAAAAAAAATTAATCCTTTAACTATTTGTTTTTTAATATCTAATTGGAAAATAATGAAAAAATATTAATATTATAATAAAAATATTATTAATATAATAAAAATATCATTATTATAATAAAAATATTATTAATATAATAAAAATATTATTAATAATAGTAATAATAATCATCCCGAATAGAAAATAGCGGGTTTTGAAAGCTATTAAAAGCCAATATTGCGGTCTCTATGTCTTGCAAAACCTGCTATATACATAATACAGTTGTAAAACACGCTATATAGTAAATATAAACCTAAATAACTTAATTCGGCAATTTATAGGATTATACGCAACTATTCCTACGATTTAGAATAATTATTTTTAATTTTTTCAATCATCAAAACATTTTCTGTGTCTTATTTTTATTTAGTAATAGGTTTTTCGTTATTATCCAAAATTCATGAAGCATATAGCGGGTTTTGCATATGGGCTACTCAAATATTAGTCAATATTCATTATAAGCTACTATTCCCCATCTTTATAGCGACTATTTCGTCGGTGGAAATTATTTCCGCGGCAAGATGACGGCGGCGAGTCGGCGGTGGCGAGTTGTCCCCGCGGCGAGATGGCGACGGCGAGATGACGGTGGCGAGTCGACGGCGGCGAGTTGTCCGATCCCGGTGGTATGCACCGTTATTATTTTGATTATTAAATGAATTTTCGAATTGGTTTTCTATTTGATCAGAATTTTGCAAGTAAAGGTTATGATTATTTATACGCGTATTTCCAGATGACGTATCCATTGGCCCTGGGATACTATTTAATCTATTATTAAAATTTGTATTTCTTGAAATTTGACTATTTCGGCTGAAATTAGTCGGATATTGACCAAAATTTGGATTTTTAAAATTATTTGAATTTCGATTAAAATTTTGATTATTGAAATTATTTGATTGGTTCAATTGGGGTCTCTGAACGAATCGATTTTGATTTTGAAAACTTTGATTTTAAAAATTCTGATTATTTTGTCTTGGGAAATTATTAAAGTTTGAATAAAATCTGTTATAATTATTAAAATAAAATGGTTTTTGTAATGGTTGTTGTGGTTGCCTTTGCTGCTGGGGTTTTAAATAGTTATTTCTGATATTTACAGGTCTATAATTTTGAGAATCTGAAAAATTAGATTTTTGTGAACTATAAAGAAAATTTTCTTCTTCGACTACAAATGCCAATGCTTGTTCTAAACTATCTGGGTTTCGTAAACGAATATTATTTTGTAATTGACCTGTGAGGCCGTAAATAAATGTTTTAAGAGCTAAATCGTTATAACTTTAAAGTCTAATACTTTTTTCTCTTCAGGCGAAAAATTTGATGCATTTATTTTAGATACAATTAAACTTCTAGAGTCTTGGCAACGCATACCAAAACGGCATGGAGGTTAATTTTTAAAAGGATGTAAAGCAATCAAGTTTTGTACATGACAATCCAAATTTCTCTGATCACCAAAGCTTAATATTAATAAATTCTTTATATCTATCTAAACAGTTAATTCACTACTGGACCCTATAAACTCAAAGCTCTGCCGGTTAATTTGCCAATAATATCTCTTAAAATATAAGCATTAATTGTGGCTGCATTATTTTGCCAATCAGAAAATTGTCCAATCAAGCTTTCACAAGCATCTAAAAATACAGTTAATATATGGGGGTTCCCATCAAAATTTGGAATAGTGTCTACATATAATTGCAAAAGTGGATAATAAGTTTTATCTGCCATATTTGAATCTGAATTTTTTGAATCTGAACTTTCTGAATCTGTTCTTTTATAGAAAGTAAATTATCTAAGTTTAATGAGGAATCTGTCCTAAGAGTACTATTAAAAATATTCACTAATTCGTCTATCTCAGACATAAAATAAAATAAATTCTCTCAATGATTTATTTTATCCCAAAAATGAAAATTAAAAATCACTAATATATTCAACTCATTAAATAAAATGTTTAAAATAAAAGGAGAGCAAAAATTCTTACGCAATTCGTAGGATTATTTTCGTCATATCAACGGGGTCAAGCGATGCTGTCTGTTCTCCCTGATTTTCTTAAAACTAGCTGGATTTGGCGATGTGATCCTCGTCCAGGTTCTTAAACTAGCTGGATTTGGCAATGTGGTCCTCGTCCAGGTTCTCCAAACTTCGACAATGTTGGTCCTATGCTTGGCTGTACACTTTTTGTTCAGTTTATTTTACCAATTTTCGCGAATTCGATTTACCGTTAAACTGTTAAAATAGACTGATTTGACACGATTTTTGTTGTCACATCGTCAGGCAATCCTACTGACTGCGCCACTTTTAGGTTCGCTAATAAAAATTGGTTTTTTAAAAAATGACAAAAACTTTACAAAAAGCGAAACTTTATTTTATGACTTTACCATATACAAGTTAAAATGTTAAAGGTAGAAAATGCCTGCAACAAACTAGTTTTGTTGCCGCTAGATCTTGGTGGGGCCTTATCTTCGACTAGCTGCGTTTGCATAATTCTACTTGTGTTCCATATGTTTGTGTTATTATAACTGGCTATAAGAAAACAATGATACTTTCATAGTATATTCTACGCATGTTCTAAGAACCTTTCCGGTAAGTAAATCTCGTTAGAAGTTTATTAAAGTTTTATACCAAATATATTTGGTGATTTTGTACAACTTTTTTTAAATTGGTAATGTATTGTGTCTTCGGAATGAATATGGCTATTACACACTAATCATAACAAAAATTGCATTTGATTAAGTATGTTTATTATTTTACAAAGTTAAACTGTATTTAAAAAGTAAATGACAAAAACAAATGTATCGAGTAGTAATTAATTTATGGGTAAAGTTTATCATTTTCAGCAATCGCCATGGAATCCCAAAATTCATTATTGCCAATTTTGACCATTTCAATCATTTTAACCTCGTCTGGAGATTCAACTTTTAAAACATTCAACATTTTACTGTCTGGTTGAATAGGTTTCCATTCGACGTTGTTCATCATTGGTATTCTGTAATATTGAAAAAAAGTATACTTATTTTCATACTCAAAATTTAGTAATAATTGTCAGTAGGTATATACAATATTAATTACCTACCCTGTTTTTGCATATAGAGCCAGAAATTCAGTAAACATTTTCATCATCATTTCATCTTTTGTTTCTAATTTAGAAGAAGCTCCAAACATTTTAAATAATAATGCTCCGTCGTCTCCATGTCCAACTCCTGTAAAAATAAAAAAATAACAGACACCCAAAGCCAAAAATATTACGAAAGATAAACAGCTGGGTGAAATATCGTACACAAATAGTACAAAAATATTACAGAAATAGTACACAAAAAGTACCCAAATAGTACATAAATAGTCCATAAATAGTACATAAATAGTACATAAATAGTACATAAATAGTACATAAATAGTACATAAATAGTACATAAATAGTACATAAATAGTACATAAATAGTACATAAATAGTACATAAATAGTACATAAATAGTACATAAATAGTACATAAATAGTACATAAATAGTACATAAATAGTACATAAATAGTACATAAATAGTACATAAATAGTACATAAATAGTACATAAATAGTACATAAATAGTACATAAATAGTACATAAATAGTACATAAATAGTACATAAATAGTACATAAATAGTACATAAATAGTACATAAATAGTACATAAATAGTACATAAATAGTACATAAATAGTACATAAATAGTACATAAATAGTACATAAATAGTACATAAATAGTACATAAATAGTACATAAATAGTACATAAATAGTACATAAATAGTACATAAATAGTACATAAATAGTACATAAATAGTACATAAATAGTACATAAATAGTACATAAATAGTACATAAATAGTACATAAATAGTACATAAATAGTACATAAATAGTACATAAATAGTACATAAATAGTACATAAATAGTACATAAATAGTACATAAATAGTACATAAATAGTACATAAATAGTACATAAATAGTACATAAATAGTACATAAATAGTACATAAATAGTACATAAATAGTACATAAATAGTACATAAATACTACATAAAACTACATAAATAGTACATAAATAGTACATAAATAGTACATAAATAGTACATAAATAGTACATACATACTACATAAATAGTATATAAATAGTACATAAATAGTACATAAATACTACATAAAACTACATAAATAGTACATAAATAGTACATAAATAGTACATAAATAGTACATAAATAGTACATACATACTACATAAATAGTATATAAATAGTACATAAATAGTACATTAATAGTACATAAATAGTACATAAATAGTACATAAATAGTACTCCGTACCTCACTGACATTCTATTCTACAGAGTTAAACAATACCCGTATTCCATATTTTTATATTACAAATTTTACGCATTTATTTTATTTACAAAAAATATAGTTAACTATGAGAATACCAAAACAAAAAAAGCATATTATTAATTAAATGTGCTTTTCCACTATTGTATTTGAATGTTATATTTATAATTCAATATTATAATTTGATTTAGACGAATGTAAAAATTCTATCTTTAAGTTTTAAAGTTTACACGTTTTGACTTTTGGTCTTTAAATAAACTGAGTTGTTTGTGTTTAAGAGAAGTTTACTTGACCTTAAAGCAGAGCATGCAAAAGTTTCGTAGTACCCTACTTTTAAAATTTATTTTTGACTTTTTTAAAAGAAATAAAATATGTGCGTGTAGGTAAAGGTTAAATCAGTGCTCCTCTGGAGACACTTTTTTAAAATTTGATTCTATTTTTTCTAAAAAAGAATAATACAAAACTCGACTTTTTACCTATTTTTTTAGAACAAACTAAATTGAATTTTAAAAAAGTGGTTCCAGAGGAGCATAGATTTAACTTTTACCTACACCTATGTACTAAGGCTGTCAATTGTTGACGTGATAAACGGTTAACCGGTTTGAATGACCTGTTTTGATTTTAACCGGATTTTTACTAATATAAACGGTCCGGATATCTGGTTAACCGGTCCGATTATCCGGTTAACTGGTCCGTATATCTGGTTAACAGCTCCGGATATCCGGTTAACCGGTCCAATTATCCAGTCGACCGGTCAGATTATCCGGTTAACCGGTCCGATCAAACCAAACCGGACCGGTTAGATTGGATTCGGTGTTTAATCGTAATAACTTAAACCCGTCACTGGTTTATCCGTTACTGGTTTAAGTGTAACCATCACCGTCTTAATCGTGGCATATTGTGCATATTTTGGATAAGTGTGATGTAAATTTAATAAAAAATAATAATTTTCTTAGTTTTGCTTTGTTTTATTATTACATTTGGAATGTTTGTATTTTTTATAAAATAAACACATTTTGTTTTACTTACTTTTAAGTGTATAAGTTTTAAAAACATCGATGTTTATGAATATCATTTTTTTCACTTTGGTCATTTTAATGCCATCGATACTTTGTTGTCAGTATCGACGTTTTAAGAAATATGCGCATCCCTACTAAGAGCTCAAACTATACTTGTTCGTTTACGTTCACGGTCTCGTTAAAACCCGTTTCGGGTACGGTTAAACTAGTTACGACTCAACAAGTGACAGGTTTAACCGGTTTAATTAGAGGTACACCAGTTGCGGTTAAACAGGTTACGGTTAAACCAGTTATAAACCGGTTCCGTTTATACCGGTTACGTTCATTAACGGTTTTTTGATCCTACGGAATCCGTTAACCGGTTAACCGGTCACGGTTACCAGCCTTACTATGTATATATTTTTTCTTTTAAAAATAGTCAAAAATAAACTTTAGAAGTGAGATACTACTTACATTGCAAGATTTTTCGCCTGGAAAGTGGTGCCTCTGTTAGATTTTTATGAATATTTGTGAAGAAAACAATTTATTTTATATTTTACTGATGTTTTGTTTACGAGAGATAATCCTATGTAAAAGCTTGTCGTCATTATGACGTGATTTTTTGTGTGCGTTACGTCATTTGATGATGTGAAAATAGAGAGTTGAAGTGATGCTATGAACGTACACGTGTACGTGGAAATTGACATCTACACATGCGTATTCAAATATCCTTTACGTTCACGTCTACGTAAATACGTAAGCTTACGGGCTCTAGCGTATGTACGTAACGCAAACAAAATAACCTCTTTTTAATTGGGAAAGGAGAAATCCCAATATTAATTGTCATTATCTGTCATGGCACGTAAATGTCACGATGCGTTAAACAACTTCAACTTATATTTCTAATAACTTTATGGTAACGTGGGAATGTCACAGCGAAATAACTTCATTTTATATCGTTATTTTGACGATTTTATATCACGTTAAAGTAACGTGTATATCGGGTGTCCTAGCTAGGCAAATTGACGTCATTATCACGAATCTACCTAACGTCAAAGTGACGTCTATATTGGGGGTCCCAAGGTTGAATGAAAATATTAAAAATACTAAGCAGATGAAAGTTATTTATTTAATCCAAAAAACACATGAAAAATATATATTAAAAAATAAATTACACTGGTAAATAAAAAAGTCATGAGCAAGAAACCAAAAGGAATAAAATGACAAAAAAATATTAGAGGAACTGACACAACATACCTAAAATTGTAGATTTAATTTTAATTAAGAGTGGGCGAACATGCTTTACGATTTCATCATCTTCAATATCATCGAATGACAGATTTCTAGTTGGCACCTGTTTTCTTTTATTAGGTACTTTATCAGCCTTGGAATGTAGATCTGAGGTATTTTCGACTTTTTTTAATTTATCATTATCATCTAAAATAAAAGAACTATTAAAATACAGACCACTGAAAATTCTTAAAGATAGAAAGTAAATTGTGTATCTAGTTGTAAAACCTGAGGGGATTACTTCACCGGAGATTGAGGTAGTAGCCCCAAAAAATACCTTCTCAGAGGTATCCCTCTAGTCTGAGTTTATAATAAAAGTACTATTAAAAAAGTACCCTGAAAGAACTCATAGTCAAAAAATAAAAGTATAACATTACTCACCAGTCTTATAATATATTTCTTTATAAAGGCGGGCAAGACTTATTTTTTACGCAGCGTTAGCCATTTTCTGCTCACCTCACAACTGCCAGACCGTCACCATCCGGTTTTTCAAACTCAACAATGCAATACATCTGTAAAATACCAAATTCGGTTTAATATACTTTATTATTTTGTCACATTCTATTTTTTACCTTTTTCTAAAACATCTTATCAAATAAAGTACAATTTAAAAATGCACCACTTTTTCGAGGTCACGACTTTCACGAGAATCATGAAGATGGAGGAAAAAGGAAACAATGACAATTGACAATATGACATTGTCAGAATATTTTTTAGTTTGGTATAAATAATTGTACCAGATTTCATAAAAATGTACTAGTATCGGTTTCCTCTCTGATTGCCTTAGAAATATCATTAATTGTTTAGGATTTATTAAGTCTTTACGGTATTTTCACTTATATTAATTACACTCGACGATAGCGGACAATGTATTGAATTTCGTTTCTAGCGTAAATGTTACCTTTAGGATGTACTAGATTCAGTACAATTGTACTAGATTGGCAAAACTCATTGCCATTTGACATTCGAGGATATTGGAATTGGGTTAGCAATACGATAAAAAGAGACAGGTAACAAAATCTTGAATGATTAATGTTAGAAAAGGGAACGTTACTAATTATCCATATCAAAACATAAGGCACCGTAATTTTACCAAAAAAATTTACAAACTGCAGCTCGAACAAACTTAATATATACATGTTTTTAGTTGAAGCAGATTTCCAATTAGGTTTTTTATAATTCAACGAAAAAATAACGTAATTATGACGAATTTTAAGTGACGTCTATCCTATGTCATCAACGCGACGTCAACTACACGTTACTGATTAGGATATTGTATTTTGAATTAATTAATACTAAAAAATTACGTCATAATGACGAGTCTGTATTAAGGTCTAATTAACGTTGTAAAAACGACGTCAAAGTGGATAGTGACGTTTCTGACGAGTAAACCTAATGACTTCACCTTGCTGCTTGGGAGGTATTTGCGTATTGAGAGCGAAAAGTGTTACTTTGCCGCTTGAGACAAAAAGTTGCCGCATGACACGTAGCGGAGCTAGGCAACGAACTTTTCTCTCAGGCACATTAAAACTATTTTCTAATTACGAAGACAAATGTTTTAGAAAAAAATAATATTTTATAGGGTGAATTTGCGCCGTATTCATCAATGGTGTTTTCTTATTTCAATTTTCTTCTAAATAACTGATTAAATGGATAAATCAATGTCTTCCAAACACTATTTTTAATTGTTTCTGCGTAAGAAAGATTGAACATTCCAAGGGCCAGTTTCCGTCAGCTTTTTGAATTCCACTTCAAACATGGATCATTACAATAAAAAAATCATATTTGACAGAACTTATACTTCAGTTGTAAAAGTTACGGGAAAATGTCATTTCAGTGCATTTTCTCATATTACTAGAAAAATCACGTGTGGGATACGGATATTATTGAAAACTTTGTATAAACATTATTACTTATTAGCAATACTTATTATATTCCTTATCACTGCTGTCATAGAGAACCACTATTAATTTGCATTTTTTATAATTTGTGCAATAATTTAATTGATATTAATTAATAAGACATTACATACCTCTTTTTATTCCAAAAGTAGGTAATATGGGTTTATTCAATAAATAGGAGAAGAAATAGTAGTAAACTGGACTTTTGTTTACCCTTGCTTGCAGTCTTAGAGCTTTCTCGCAATCCATAAAGTAAAATCTATCGCTGGTCATCTAAAAAAAACCCAGTTATTAGGTATATTACGTAATTAATCTCCGAATGAGAGATAGCATATAAAAAAGAACATATCGCTGCTCCGCTGAAACATGATCTAAATGCAAATTAGTAAGTTTTGAGAATATTATGTTTTAACATTTTGTTACGCAACGCGCACAGTATTACATGGGGAAACAAAACAAGTAGAGATGCTCCTTGGTGGAACAGTCATCTGTCAAACTTACGATCTGAGTGCGGAAACTCTGTAACAGAAACAATCACAGTGGATATTGACAGAACTACATCAAGGCACTCACCATCTACAACAAAGATATTAGAAAAGCTAATCGCAACAGTTTTAGGAAATTCTACGGGAATATTAACTTAACACCTGCGACAGCAAGACTGCATAGATCCCTGGCGGGAGCGGATACAGCTATGGCTCTAAAGAAACCAAATGAAAGCTTCACGAAAAGTGATGAGCCAAGAGCTCACCTCTTATAGACTGTTAGATAGTGAATAATTTAGGTATCCCATTTTCGCATACAAGCCTGGAAGAAATATTTTCCGACCCCAAAATGCGCTTATTTATTCGGGTTATTCAGGCCAATATGTTTTTCTGACTAGTGACGATGTAAGTTTTCATATTGTAAGGGGTTTTCTCGCCACTGAGAAAACGGTTCCTTACGAATGGCGCTGGTTACGGGCGGTTCTCGAGCGCCAGATTTTTGGTGATGGTTTACTTCACAAACTTTCGAAACGGCGTCTAAAGTATTCAAGTAGCTACAGATGGAGATGAAAAATTCTAGGGCTCAAAGGTCACTTAGACACAGGTAATAGTAGGCCACAAGTAATGGACTTTAATCGTTGCTTGGGCTAGTACAGAACTTATCACTAGCTGAAATACAAGAGGGAAATTAAGTATGGAATTAGTAACGAGTAATACGGCAAGTTAACATTGACACATATATTGTTTTAAACTATTTACAACATAAAACAAATTATATATTTCAACGCCAACCCTAGTTGCGGTGATGGTCAATATAACCCTAAACAAAAAAATAAAGAAATAAAACGGACGGTATTGAATCCCGACTAGTCTCAATCAGACGTCAAAATTGAATTAAAATAAAATGAATGTTTCGGTCGCAGAAAAAATTATTAACTTGGCTATTTAGTCGGTAATTAATCTATAACATAATTTCCCATTTCGGTAAGGAAAAATCCTAAGAGCGGTCGTAGCAAAAATTAAATATTTAACTGTTGTATCGGGAATTAAACTAAAAGGTAGGTATTTTACTATTCCGGTAAGGAAAAATTATCTAAACGGTCATAGAGAGTGCGAGGAGACAGGAACGCGAAAGAACTACTTATAGTAAATATACGGAAAGGGAAAAAAAATAATTTATACCCGGGGTAGCCTATTATCCCAGAATAAGCTGATCGTCATCACGAGCCCGCTCAGAAGCTATTTAAGATTTTTTGTTAATTTGCAATTTGCACGAAAAAAATGAAGAATACAAAGGGAAAAAGAAAACAAACGCAGATAGCACCTAATCCAAGAATGAACTGATCGTCATCACGAGCCCGTTCAGACAGGGACAGGATACTATTTAAAGTTATTTAAATTGACGGTGAAAGAGAAAACAAAACTATTATCCGAGAGAAAAAAACTACTAACGCGGATAGTACCTACTCCAAGAATGAACTGATCGTCATCACGTGCCCGTTCAGACAGGGACAGGATGCTATTTAAGATTATTTAAATTTACGGTAAAAGAATAAACAAACTATTAAAAGAGGGAAATCGTCTCCTCGAAAACTCCGTTTATAAATATTCCCAACTTAGTTACAACGCAGCACTTACCAACAAAAGTATTTATTAATAAAATCAAATTCCCGATTTAACCTACCAAAAAGAAAAAAATTAATTTCTTAGTACAGACTAACGATCAAAAGTTTAAATCACCGGTATTACAATATTAAAGAACTAAATCCTATCATTTATTATTTTAATCAAATTCAATTCCCTTTAAAGAAACGTTATTATATTTGCCAAGAAATAAATTCTAATATTTATTAATGAAATCAAATTATATCTTTGAACTCAACACGGAATTAAAAGGTTTCTATTTCTAAAAGATAATTCGGTTTTTAAATAAAATACGGTCTCAATATAAAACGTTTCTTCTATTTAAATATGAACGTAAAAAAAAACGAAACAAGGTTTTTTACCTAACGGATTTATAAACACGAAAAATTTATCGGCGGCGGACTTAGTTGAGAATGCGGCTATTACTGCTGAAAATCAAGTGTCGCTCCAAAATCTTTTAATTCGCGATGAAAGCCAGAATAATTCCCACTATTCGAAGTACTACCGCGCAACAATATGTCGATCGGCAGCGCGCAGCTGATTCAACGCCTAAGGCAAACGACTCGAGCGCGCTTATTTGAATTAAAAATTAATATAAACTGATTCAGGAAAAATTGACTTCGTTACAATATATTACATGGGCTTTTGCAGAAAAATCGGTTCAAATATCTATTTTCCCTTACAAGATTACGCCCTTATTTAAACCGTTTAGCCACTTGCAACGTTAAAGCCATAGGTTTTCCGAAGTCCAGTTCTATTAGTTAATCATTTAGTGAACACGACTTGCGTAAAAATATGGGCAACAAATACCTTTTAATTTATGGGAAAATCGAATTATCCATATATTATTCCCAGGAGCCACTCGTAAATTTCTTTGCACTCTACTCAAAATCGATGTACCTTTCAAACCTCTTCGAGGCTTGTATGCGAAAATATGGCATCTAAATATGTCTAACGTAATCTGCTCAAAAATGGTTTGGAGATGCCTAGAAAAACTAAATGAGCTAGGCGGGTCCCGGGATATAACGTGGTAAAGGGTAACTATAGTCTTGCAAGGACAGGGAGTCAAACACCCTTTGTGTGACCTGGGCCGTTCTGGAGTATTAGCAGTAAAACAATATTAGGTAAGATTAAAAACAAATTAAGCAGTAGAACTTTCGATAATTGGAACAATCTCTTGAAGCTAAGACAGGCTAAGATACTTCAGGGTGAATATAATCAAAAAAGATCGGAAGCTTGTATCTGCTTAAGCAAGAAGCGGCGACGCATTGTAACAAAGATCCTTACTGGGCATTACCGACTCAAAGGACACGTCAGTAAACTGAGAGTAAAGAAGATAGTGAGTGCAGATTTCATGAGGTGGAGGACTGTACTTAGGAGCATATTAAATAGAAAAAGGCGATTTACCTAACTTAAGCCACTCCAAAACCTACTCTTCCCTAAAAAGATGTGCAAATTTAAATCAGTTTTTATTTCTAGCTTCGGAGATATGATTTATTATGAATCAAAAAATGGCTGTGTGTCTAAAATATGGCAAAGTTCACTAATCAAAAAGTATTACTGTTGTGTATGTTTTTGAAAGAATACGACTGGACTATTAATTATTTAACGCGTTCAAAGAGTGCGAGTTGTCACACATGACATAGAGCATGGAACCAAACCCACAACCTATGTATGTTTTTGTTTTATCGTTGTTGTTAAGTTAGTTGTCTTTTTATGAATGAAAGAGAAGGTTCTGTCAAAAAAGGAGAATAAAGTTTCATATAATTTTATTGCGTTATTTATACACAAATATAAAAGTGGTGTCAGAAGTGGGATCAAGAGTATATAGTGTTCCTGCACCAACTTAGTGATCACCAACGATGCCAGCCACTCCGACAGTTACTCCTGAACTACTTCAGACTTTCTCCAGCATGATAGCTAACGCAATCCAAGCCTCCACGACTAATGTTACCACAGAAGCCGCTGTCACAGCAGCATTGCCGCGCCCGCCTCCGTTCGCCATGGGATCGTATCGTTCCACCGATGGAACCATGATCAGCGACTATTTCATGCGCTTCTCCTGGGCACTTGAGCTGAGCAAAATTCCAGAAGACAAACACGCAAGTTACGCACGTGTCTATATGGGGCCCGAGCTTAATGACGCACTGAAGTTTTTGGTGAGTCCTGTTGATCCAGAAACATTTACTTACAATGAAATAAGATCGAAACTGATACGCCACTTCGATTCAACTCGAAATAAATTCGCCGAAAGTAAAAAGTTTCGACAGATCAGACAAAATAAAGGGGAAACTATTGCCAACTTCTCGTTGAGGTTAAGACAGGCCGCCGTGTATTGCGAATATGATACATTTCTCGACCGGATGTTGATAGAACAACTACTATTGGGTCTGGAATCTCGAGAAATTTGTGACGAAATAATTTCGAAGAAACCGACATCATTCACAGACGCGTACGAAATTGCACATGCACTGGAAGTCATGCGCAATACAGCAGATGAGGTAAATACCACACAAGCGAAGACCGAGCTTACAAACAAAATTGGATACGAGAAACCGCTATCGCGTAAGAACTGGAATCAACAAGGGCGAAAGAAAGTATACGGACAACAGGAAGCAGCTGACAACCAATTTCAGCACAATGACAGAACCCAGGATAACCAGTACACATGTGCAGGATGTGGTGAGACACACCCTCGTAGTCAATGTAGATTCTTGAACAGCAAATGTAACAAATGCGGAAAGAAAGGACATATCGCCAGGGTATGTAAGTCCAGAAAAACTAAAAATACGAACCAGCTCACCGAGGAAGAACTTGCTTCCGGAGAGATCAACGATGAAATCGACTTAGTACAACGGTTAAGTAAACTTGAAATCATCGGCTCAGTACCATCACCAGGACGACAGATACTGACAGTCCAGATAGAGGACAGTACAGTCAAAATGGAACTTGATACAGGCGCTCCTTGCTCAATTATAAGCAAACATAATCTTGACAAAATTGATCATGTTTTTAATTTACAGAAGACAGACCGAAACTTTGCCAGTTACACGGGCCACCGGATCAATTGTATCGGTCGTGTCTGTGTCAACGTCACCATTGGAGCAACCACGAAGGCGCTCAATCTCTATGTAGTGAATGAAGAATTCGACACGCTTCTGGGCCGAGAATGGATCGCAGAATTTGTGCACGAAATAGACTTTGAGGGCCTGTTCACCAAGCCAACCCCAGTGCACCAAATATCCACCACAGAAGTTCCGAAAGCCCTCACCGTCGACCAAGAGAAACAGCTGGACCATTTACTAACCAAATATGATGATTTATTTGGAGAAACCCCTGGCAAACTGACAGGTCCTCCAGCGAAAATGAAGTTAAAACCAGGAGCTATGCCAGTCTTCTCCCGAGCGCGGGAAGTACCGCTCGCCTTACGAGATGCATACGCCAAAGAAATCGATGCTAAAATTGCCTCAGGATTTTACAATCGAGTCGACTACTCGGAATGGGCCTCAACTACCCACATTGTTGCCAAGAAAAACGGTAAATTAAGAATCACCGGCAACTACAAGCCAACACTGAACCCAAGAATCATAATTGACGAACATCCGATCCCAAAAGTGGAGCATCTCTTCAACAAGTTGAGAGGCGCAACCCTATTCTGCCATCTGGACATCGTCGACGCTTATACGCACCTAGAAGTTGATGAAGAATTTAGTCACGCGTTAACGCTAAATACTCCCACCCATGGACTCGTTAGACCAACACGCGCGGTGTATGGAGCAGCAAATATCCCCGCTATTTGGCAGCGACGCATGGACACAGTTCTCCAGGATCTATCCAATGTCGTCAATTTCTTTGATGACATCATCGTCTACGCGGATCGATTTGATAACCTGCTGCAGGCACTAACGTCAACTCTGGAGCGTTTTAGGATACATGGATTAAGACTCAACCGTTCAAAATGCTCTTTCGCAAAAACAGTCCTAGAAGCCTTGGGCCACAAGGTCGACGTAAAAGGGATACATAAATCGGATGGACACATTCAAGCGGTACGAGATGCTCTGAAGCCATCGACACCGGAGGAACTGCAACTTTTTCTTGGCAAGGCAACATATTACAGCTCTTTCATCCCCGACCTGTCAACAAGGGAACGTCCTCTTCGAGATATGCTCCTCAAGGACCCCTTTGCATGGACTTCAGCTAGTACAGAGGCCTACCTGGACATCAAGAAGATTTTGATCTCGCCACAAGTCCTGATGCAGTACGATCCGTCACTTCCGTTGCTGTTGGCAACAGACGCAAGCAGTACGGGATTGGGGGCAGTCCTATCTCACCGACTCAGTAATGGACAGGAACGTCCAATTGCATACGCAAGTCGATCGATGTCGGCTGCGGAAAAAAGGTACCCTCAAATAGATAAAGAAGCACTCGCCATCGTTTGGGCTGTAAAAAATTTCTTCAACTACCTCTATGCTCGCCATTTCACGCTGATCACAGACCATAAACCGCTGACACAGATCCTACACCCGGAAAAGTCACTCCCGGTGCTCTGCATTAGTCGAATGGCCAACTACGCGGACTATTTGGCAAATTTCAACTTTGACGTGACTTTCAAAACGTCAAAAGCAAATGCGAACGCCGACTATTGTTCTCGGGTGCATGCAATGGTAACAGTTAGTACCATCTACTACAACTCGTCACGTAGGAGGGAGGAAGCAGAGAACTATGACGAGTTTGACCAATTTGTCGTACATCAAACTACACAGTTACCAGTCCGAGCAGAGACCATCGCACGGGAGACCCGGAGAGATCAACATCTTGGTAACATCACCAAACTATTGGAATCGGGACAGGACCTTGTTCGTCATGGATTTAAAGCTCCAGAAGCTAAGTATACGCTCGCGGCAAATTGCTTATTATTTGAGCACCGAGTTGTTATACCGCCAATACTACGGGACGCTATCATCCAGGATCTGCATGCTGCCCACATCGGCATCGTCAAAATGAAAGGGCTGGCTCGCTCGTTTGTTTTTTGGCCAGGTATCGATGCAGACATCGAACGTGCCGCCAAGTCTTGCATTGAATGTGCTAGATATGCAAATGCACCACCCAAATTTAGAGAACACCACTGGGAGTATCCCAAGGCACCATGGGAAAGGATTCATGTTGATTATGCGGGCCCAGTAGCCGGAAAAATGCTTCTGATCATCGTAGACGCCTACAGCAAGTGGCTGGAAGTGAAGCCTACTAAGGTGACGACGGCAATCGCAACTGTTAATATCTTAGACGACATCTTTGCCATGTACGGAGTACCAGTTACCATTGTATCCGATAATGGAACACAATTCACATCAGATGAACTCAAAACTTTCCTCCAAAGATCGGGCGTAAAGTTCCACAAACTGACTGCTCCGTACCACCCATCAACGAATGGACAAGCCGAGCGATATGTACAAACGGTAAAGGATGCCCTTCGAGCTATGGAAACAACAGAGAGTACCTTACAAACAAATCTGAACGAGTTTCTCCGTCAGTATCGCAAAGCCCCACACGCCACCACAGGCCAATCCCCGGCACAACTTTTCCTAGGACGCAACCTGCGCACCCGCTTGGACTTGGTCCGACCAGAAGACACGCACACCAAAGTTATGCAGAAACAACGTGTCGAAATGGATTCTACATTTAGAATATTTCAGCCAGGACAATCCATTTATTTCTTGTCTGGCAACCCAAGGTTGGACAAATGGATTCCAGGTACTGTCATTACCCGCCTAGGAGATATCCATTACGAGATTCAGTATGGAGACAATAAAAAGGTGAAAAGACACATCGACCAAATTAGATGTTTCCCAGATCAAAAACCGCCAAGTGATCCTGAAGCTAACTCAAAACAACTAGAGACTACGCAACTACCAAGACGAGTACGCTTCTATGAGCTTACAGCACCTTCAAATAGTCCGGTTATAACAGCCTCCTCTGCAGCATCTCCTGGGGCACCAGCTGCTCCACTTACTCCGAGACCACAAAGGTCAGTTGTACCAGCGACACCAATTGTTCCAAAACAGCAAAGGATACCTGCGCCACATAATCCTCGCAGATCAAACCGGACGAGATTCCCACCATCCAGATTCTCGGCCAATTAATCACATACGCTTTAATTTTTAAAAGAGGGAAGAAATGTTGTGTATGTTTTTGAAAGAATACGACTGGACTATTAATTATTTAACGCGTTCAAAGAGTGCGAGTTGTCACACATGACATAGAGCATGGAACCAAACCCACAACCTATGTATGTTTTTGTTTTATCGTTGTTGTTAAGTTAGTTGTCTTTTTATGAATGAAAGAGAAGGTTCTGTCAAAAAAGGAGAATAAAGTTTCATATAATTTTATTGCGTTATTTATACACAAATATAAAAATTACATTTTAGATGATTAGTTTAAAGGAAGTCAGTTTACATGTCAATTGGTAAGTCAGTCAGTCGTTAAGACAAAAAAAAGTTGTTAGTCAGTTATCCCTGTGGTTACATTTTTAGAAATATTATTAAACGATTCCGCCGATATCACAGAGGTTGATAAAATAAAGATATCGTCTAATATAAATGTGAATTTCAGCAAAATCACCGAAATCGTGAGAATTTTAGGTTATTCTCGAAATACGGATGCGCTTTGACCTTAGTGGTTTACGACTCGGTTTTCCATAAATAAACAATTTCAAAAAAGTTAAGCACGAATTTTTTAATTCAAGTCAAAGAAAACTGAATATAATATGGATGAATATATACGGACGGAGGTATATTTGTATAAATGAAATTGAATTACAAAGTTTGTAGAATAGTTTAAAAAAACAAACAATATGCTTTAATAGAAAAGCAAATTTAAAAGTAGAAAATAATTTTCAATAAATTTAAATTGATAAACAAATAATTATTTTGTTGTAGGGTGCTTTTTAAGATATTTTCGTAATGAGTCTACAAGCTACAATGGCCAGTGCTGTATTTATGTTTCTATGAGATATATCAGAATCGGGTTTGCTGCATATTTTTTGATAATTTTTTGCTCTATAAATATATATCCATTGATGAATAGGGTACGGACATGCGTTTACAACCTAATAAATTATACTTTGAATAAAGACATAAAATCAGTTACTGTGATTTTTAATCCTGCTAGGAATATGTGCCATTCAAATAAATTTTATGTTACTTCGTAAACATTTTTAAAGGAACAAGTGGTTCCTAAAAGATTGATATATGCATTTTCCCGGCACAAGTTTTTGTTTATTTAAGTTTATCTTCTAAGATGAGAGTTTGCCTGTGCTGGGTATACTTGTGTGTATAATTTATTGACAGTAAGCCTAAAAATATAAAGGATTAACAATATTGCTCTTAAAGAAATTTAAAAGTATTTTGTATAAAGTCAAAACCGCATCATTTTAAAGCGTATATGTATCCTTTTAAAGATTGAAATAAAAACTAAATCAAGAAGAAGTGAGAAATGTAGATTCATGTATTCATTGAAAAAATGTATTTTATAATAAGAATAATAATATATACAAATCCAATAAATATATTCGGTCCAAAAGTACCTAATTATAATACCATAGAATAATAGTAATCAAAGCATATATCGAAATCTGCCGGCTATGCTGGCCGGCCTGTGCTAACTCAATTGGCGCCTTCGTTTAGAGCTTCTGGCCGGCTGTCATTGATTACGAGACATTAAATGAGCCTTTATTAAAATTATTAAAATACTTACTTGGACCATATTATAAGTAGTTTCGTCAGAGATCGGTTTGTCATCAAAGTAAAATTTCTTAATTTTTTGCATCATATCAAGCTGTTTAGATTTATCCACAGTCTCGTAGAGATCTAGAAGATACGGAGCGATTTCGTTCCATTTCGTATCTAATTCGCCCATCATCTGGTTCATTACAAAGACTGAAACATTTTATTATTACCCTAAATATATTCTCAAAACTGTAATTTTCTAATTTATCTGTGCTACGATGGACTGAATAAAAGTCGCACTATCTATAGCTGAATTACATAGATTACTAGCTTTAGTTAAATAAGTATCAGAGATCATTACAATAGAAATGGATTAATATGAAGAGGCGTTTCAGCTGCTCTCAAAACACTTTGTCGCTGTGCTTGCTGTTGTCTTCTCAGCTCTGCATGCGTCAACCGAAGATTCGTGATTTCGTGCAACTTTTGCTGCACGGGCCCGGGACGAATTATCGCTTCCAAGGCATTTTTGAAGAAGAACAGAGTAAGAATTAAAATCAGTGGGTGTGATCTAAAATAATGAAGTGACATGTAACCACAAAAATGACACCTAACCTCAAACATTCAATAGTTTTATTTTTATACTTCATAGCATGGAGACTACACAAGGAGCACGCACTTAAGTGTGGCATTTGCCAGAGTATGTCCGCGCTTTATCGTATAAATAAAGCTTTCTTTTTTCACCACTAGGTCGCTAATTTTTCTTTTGTACCGGTGTGAATATAGAGGAATAAACAAATGTGAAGTTAGCGTGAAAATAAAGTAACCGATTATTTAATTAACGTAAACACGTGTCAAATGTTTTTAAATTAAATACGCTTGTTATACATGGAGTGCGTGCTCCTTGTGTAGTCTCCATGCTTCATAGAATAAGAAAATTTTGAAACAGCTGAAACTATACTCAATTAGGCATTCCAAACTGAATGACTACCAGTGGGTTTTGACAGGTTATGATGTGGCAAAGTTATGGCAACTCTGTAGGCCTGGTGATTTGACAAGGTGAGTGAAATAGATAGTTACATAGATTGATCATCCCTATTTTTTAAAATAAACATAAGCTTATGCCGTGAAGTAAAAATATAAGCAATTATTATTTTTTAAATATCTAAAGTCTGAAAATTGGTTTTAAAACACATTTTTGCTAAACTGATTCAAATTAATAAATATTTGCCAGGCAATATGGCTGCTCGCAAACGACCAGCTTTGAGCAATGTATATAACATATATCTTTCATTGACCCTGTTAATGACAACATGACAACAGGGTTGCCATATATAAACTGTCAGTACCCACTGGTAGCCATTTGGACAGGTCGTTGGAATGCCTAATTGGATTGGATTGGATAATAGAGAGTTGAAGTGATGCTATGAACGTAAACGTGTACGTGAAAACTGACATATGCGCATATTTGCTCAAAAGCATGTTGTAGCTATTCTTGGTCGTTCGAATTTATATTGTAGGTGCGCATTTGACAGCGAGTGGGTTTTTGGTCTTCGCATTCAAATACGAAGGTCCAAAGAGCTTGCAAATGTCTAACTGGATGCACATTTTAATATTACAAAGTGTTTTTGTTTTGTTTCATAAATTAATCGTGACCTATAGGTATGATGGCAAATATAATTTTTTTAAATATCTTATTACGAATTATAGAAGAGGCCAATAATCATCCTGGAAGAGTTTATGATGATAGGAAAGATCCTTTCAGACTTTCTGATCAAGCGTTCATCAGATTGTTTCGGTTAATTATATGTGTCTTTTTACTAATATTTTCCATTTTATAACGCTGCAAACTATGTATAGCCAAACACTACATCAAAAAACAACCCAAAACCACGACTTCATGCTAAAAACCATTACTCATATTAATATTGCTTCTTTTTTACGAATAATTGTCACAAAACAAGCGGTGTGAACTTTGACTCCCCTTTTTCTAGCAGACAATTATCATAAATAATCGTCGATCATACATGGTTGCCAAGTTGCCATTCGCATTTATAAAAGAGGATTACGAAGGCACAGATACGAAGGGTTAAGAATACGGTTTCTAATGCGTCTTCGCATTGAACCACTCGCATCTCTTCAAAGCGAGCGCTTAAACGCACTAGTCGAAGATAGGTGCCCAGCTCTGGCGTATGTACGTAACGCAAACAAAATAACCTCTTTTTAAATGGGAAAGAAGAAATCTTAATATTAATTGTCATTATCTGTCATGACACGTAAATGTCACGATGAGTTTAACAACTTCAACTCATATTTTGGATTTCAACGTAAACATTATTTTTCTGCGTTGACGTTCACGTTTACGTTAACGTACTGGAAATACTTCAACTCTCTATTGACGTGCCCGTTGGTTATGAAGACTAGAGATAAGGAGGCAAATCGGCAAGCTCAAAATACGGTCCCAAAAATCCATTGATCTGGCAACCTAGGGATACGACATGCGTAAGCGAAAAGTGGGACCGGTCCGCCATTACTGTGAGTGCAAATTGTCAAATTTTATAGGTTATATTTTTAGTGTCATTTGTATAATTAAATTTGAATTTAATTTGTGTTTGAGCAAATTTTGAGTGTTACAAACTTATAAAGTATATAATGCCTTGCTGTGTTATACGTTCCTGCTCTAGCGATAGACGTTTTTGTGAAAAATCGACTGGAATAACGTTTCATAGGTTAGTATCAAAATTATAAATATTATACAGGACAGTATTATGACAGGTTTGTATAAAATGTGTAAAAGTATGCTTTTAAAAATGCAAAAAAAATCATCTATCAACTTTTGGGCCTACCTATATTGGAATAATACTTTTTCATACGAAATAATATTTATAGATTTCCAAAAAATCCTATAAAACGTAGCGCGTGGATACAGTTTGTCAACTAATATAATTGATAACCTTCTAAATTCAGCAGTATATGTTTCAAGCATTTTCTTGAGAAGTACATTAATCGTACGCCATTTAATTTATAGGCATTTTATATTCTTATTTCTATTTAAATATAACCTACATTTGCTGGCCTGCCACCAATTTTATTTATTAGTTCTACAGCTGATTGAAAAGTAGAGCTTCATGTTTTGTGTATGCATGAGTATTGTTTGTTTTATTATAGTTAATTTAAAACAATATTAATATACCTTTTTAATTACCTATAATTTGTTTCAGATTAGTGCGTTTAAAGGAATTGGTGAAAATGAAGCGATTCGCCAACTTTGGGGATGTGCCAGAAAAGTGACATCAAAGTTATTCAACGGTTCCAGAATAAAGCATTAAGGAACATCGTCAATGCACCCTGGTACTGCCACAATACTGACCTTCATAGGGACCTTAAAGTGGAGACTGTTGAGAATACAATACAAAAATTTGTAGTCACCAACAACAACTGTTCCAGCATGGAAACCTCGAGATTATCCAGCTCCTCAACAATGCCAAATCTAATAAGAAGACTCAAGAGACCAAGCCTTTTGAGTTAGTTCAGTGATGTTAAAGCATAGTATAGTGCAGTTAAGTGATTTAGACTCTAAGGTATACTAGATAGTAGAATATCAATTTGTGAAGTTTTTCATCCCTTGATAAGTTAGAATAAAATTTCTAATTGATTTTAATGATTAGATTGTAATAATCGTAAATGTTTCTTTACTTGGGGCATTTATTAAAAAAAATGTTGCAAGACGCACTATACAAACTTAAATATCACATTTTCAAAACTTTTGGTTTTTTATCAACAATAATTATAAACGTCAGTTGGTTACTCAGTACTACACTTGTCAACTACGTTTCCTTTTTATGATAAATTTAAATTAATAATATGCCAAAATAGTGTACCTTTAATGATTTTGTCATGAATATTCGCGAGCTGCTTGTATGGAGTATCAGTGACAATTTCCATACCGACAAGTTCCAAGGCACCAAACATTCAGTGCTGTGTTTCGACATATTCCAACACATGGCATACTGTGTTAATATATTTTTTGATATTTAAACTCTTGTAGCTTGGTAACCATGTAGAATTGGATATTTGTTCATAGGACATTTTATGCTTAAAATGAATTCAGGAATATGATATTTAAGTTTGTATAGTGCATATTATGAACATACTGTATATAAGTTCTTATAATAATAAATATTTAACATCAATACTCACTTAGTTTTTTTTTGAGACTAGCAACAAAACCATAACCGTTTGTCTAGTATTAAAAATAAATATCACTCATATATATGGATAAGAAAATATTAAAACTTTATTCCTTGTACACTTTTATTTAATCACAGTACACATTATTTGCATTTACAATATTTGCTTGTCGTTCATATGCCCCAGTCTGTTTTGTTCACCTTTTCTAGTGGCTTTTTCTGCTAAACTTTAGTCCCTATTCTTCCTTCACGTAGGTAATGAATTATTCGACCATTTAGTCAACAAAGGGGTTTTACTTGTTTTACAGTAATATACTTATCTTTAATGTTCAAGTTTTAGAATTTGAACTTGGATTAGGCCATTTTCGACAATTTTGTTCTTAGAGCTTTTGGAAAAACACTTGGGAAGTACTCTTACAAATTTATTTCTTATTTTGCCTAGCGAAGAAATTGTGTATAAGGAAATATTCTGGTTTTTACCTCAGTGATCAAGAAAAGCGCTTACAGTGGATACTTTCCCTAACTCGATAAACTTTTATTACCTAGATGTTGGCCTCCCTTTATCACCAGCCTACAATTTCAACTCTTTTGCTGTTAACTTTAACTTCATCTGTGACTTTAACTATGATTGAGACTTCAACTTTATCTTTACATTCTTTGTCTGACTTTCAATCATACATGCATGATTATTATGCACAGACCAATTAAATTGGACCGGCATGCTTGTGGTGCATGTTGTGTGTTACTACGGTAGGCCTTTACATAAGTAGCCATAATCTCTGCAGATGGTAAGAAGCCCAGCTCAAACCAACTACCATAATATCGTCGTTGGATCTATAGGTCTCAAGTAAGATCTCTTCATATTTTACATTTGTTAGAAGTGCACCTGCACATCGCTGGTTGTGGCTTCGCTGATTTACTGAATGTCTTGCATGAAGATATACACCTTTCAGTCTGAATCTACAAAAGGACCAAGACCAAGTAAGATTAATCCACATTTTGATTTCCTGAATAGTGCACCTA